GGGATCTGGGAAGGGTTTAGCTGGGGAGGAGACTAGGGAACGTTATTGGGTGATGGAAATATTCTTAATTTCCTTCGGGGACAGGGGTTGCACAGGTATATACATTCATTAAACTCATCTAATTGTACACTTAAAATGGGTGATTTTACTTCATGTAAATTATTTATCAATAAAGTTAACTTAAAAAGTAATTTAAAAAAGAGGGAGCCTCCTTTGAAAGCAAACAAAACAGAAAACTAACTCCAATAACCAAATTAAGGAAAGCCACTTTACTATTTTTACACGAACAAAACAGTCTTCAGTGACTCATCTGTGATTCTGAAGGTTCTTGTGGTACATTAAGTGTGTGTCTTTCTAGACACATAGTATCACGTAACAGCAAACATCACCATGACTATTTAGCGTGCACTTAGCAAACTGGCAGGCATGGATGTGAATACGCTGCATTTCCAAATGTGACAGCCCTTCTGTTCACTCAAAACAATTTGCCCTCTCATTTGTTACATACCCAGATGGACAATTTCAAGTAGTGTTGGAATAACTGTGTTTTCCCAAGAAATGTTTGTTTGTTTCATTGTTAAGAGATATGTGACTTGTGTGACCATGTTTCCCTATTTATGTTGGGTGTCAGGAAGCTGATGGTCTAATCTGTGGCCCACTCCTAGCAAAACTACCAGGCCATATAACACGCTTCCTGGGTACTAATCTCATCCCTGGCTTCTTTCTTTTTGCTCCTATGATTATTTTCCCTTCCTCTTGATTTTCTTACTTAATCAGTTTTTCAGCAGTATTACATATTATTTTCAAATACACATTTTAATATGTTACCTGTATGTAAATGAAGTAATATAGATGATGCACCTATAACACTACTTTGAATCTTTTGTGTGTGTTAAAAAATAATTGCTAATAAAGCTTATTCCTCTCTTCTCTAAGATTTAGTGTTCTAATTTTAAGAAAATGTAAATGGACACAAATAGTCAAAAAACACATCTGAGAAGAAAAAATAACTTGTCATAGAACCTCACCCAACTGCTAAATGATATAATGATGGGTTAGACATGCCATGTGATTCATTCGGTCACACATGATTCATTTGGCCTTGGTTGGCATATTTATGCCCCTATTCTTCATTTTAGAAGTTTCTTACATATTCTTTAAACTGAAATGAAAAATAATCTGCCTGTATGAGGACATATAAACTCAAAAATTGCTAAATGCTGTATAAATCTTTTGATATTTTTAATTAAATGCAGAGCAAGCATTTTATTATATTAAAATGAGGGAAAATATTTTCACCAAATGTAATAGGTAAAGGGCTCATAACTCTAATAGAAGGGAACTCCTGAGAATTTATCTTAAGGAAATAATTAAAAAGAAAGAGAAAATATATATGTACCAATTTATTCATTTTTACACTATAATATTGAAAATGGAAATGATGTGGATATCCAATAATAAAACAACTTAGTAAACTATGCTACATTATACAATCATTAAGTATTACAAGGACTGCATTACTAGGTAATTTTAAGTGAGAATAAGAATAAAATTTCATTTACTATAATTACAGTTCTGCAAAATTCTTATATAGTAAAACAAACAGCATAAGGGAATATGGAAAAACAGACATTGATATGTTTGGTTAGAAATTATCGATTTTGCTTTTTAAAAAATACATACTTTGTGAATGCCTTTTAAAATCATTTTTAAAATGGTTAGCACAGTGCTTTAAAAAGATAAATGTAAATATAACCTGCCCCATCCCCAACCCTGCACCTTTGCCCCCAGGGTAGAACATAATCCTAGTGGCTCTGTCCTGGACCTCATCTGACCAGCCAGGTACTAAAAGCCCCAGGGTCACATTAAGGAGGTTCCACAGAGCCAGAGAGCTCCAGTGGTTGACAGGCTGGTACAATCTAATCAGCACTTTTGGCCTGGGTTCCCCATATGTTTGCAAAGAATGCCAAGCTCTTCTGATGAGGCAATGACCAACTGATAGCAATGACCTTGAGAATAATCTCTATTTGTTGGTGACAGAAAAAAAGAAAAAGAGGCAAGATAATCTTTCAAATGGGAAGCATTAGAAAAAAGCAACCCAGACTCTTGCAGTTAAACAGTGAGCTCTGAACTGTCAGTTAAGACCCAGGAAAGTAAATCCAAAGGTCGGGGTGGTTTGTTTCCAAAGAAACAACATGTGCTGCTACAATCAAAGGCTATCAGGCACTGTTATCACACAATATAAATCAGAACCACAAAAGTTAGCCCCAAACCAGTTCTGCAGTAATATGAGTCTTCCTTTCCTGAAATTTTCGTTTTAAATAGGTCACTCTTCTACTTCTACAATATCTATCCTTGCTCCTCAGCTTCCAAGGGAATAAATAATCTCTTGCTTTCCTTACCCACCCAATTCAAACCCTGCTCAGACAAGGATCTAGCAGGTTCATTCAGAGTAAGAGAAATGATTGATGAGTCTGGAAGTGGGTGTCTTGCCAGAGGGTACTTGTATTTTGTCAGGAGATACAGTGGATGCTGCCAGCATCCTATCCTTGGTGTAACTGTCCATGCTGCACTTCAGGATAACCTGTCAACCAAGTCTTCCCCTATTCCTCCACTTCACAGTGGGTATGAGACCCAAACTGGACCAATATTCCCTGAACGCAATACCTGTGGACACATGACCAAGCAAGGTTCTTAGTTCTTAGGTCCAAGCAAGGACCAGGTTCTTAGGTCCTTTGGTCTCCCTGCCTCTGCTGTGCTCCGTATCACAGGGGACTGAGCTCCACAGGTTCGTAGCTCAGCTGGCTTCTGACTGGCTACAGCCAATGGGAGACACTGATGGGAGGCTGCAAGGCAGGAGGAGGATGGAGATGCCAATGGCCACTTTCCACCCATGTATACCCAGCTTGAGAATGAAGCCAAACACAGAAGCACAAAGAGCCAAACAAAACAGGGAGATAAAAAGAATCTTGACACATTCTTTGAACTCCTTGCATTTGAAGTCTAAACCTAAAATTAACATTATCATATATTGTATGTCCCAAACCAGGACACTTTTGAGAGTAAAAGGAGCTGTTAGTAATACTTAAGTCGGGACAACAGGCACAAATTGGGACTGGCCCAGGCAAACCAGAACATATATAGTCACCCTACCTAAAACCAACTCAGCCTTTGGACTTCACAGTTATTTGAGCCATTAAATTCTCTTTGACCCTTAACCTAATTTGTGTTGGATCGCTATCACTAAATGAAAAGATTCCTGACCAATGCATGAGGAAAAGCTTAAATCAACAGAATTGTGTCCTCGTGGTTGGATTTCAGGGTGGGTACATCAATGTCTGCCTGATTTAGCCTCCACAATATACACGTGGAGGGAGCCAGCACATTTATGGGACACCCATTCTGGCAACCATATATAGAATTCTGGTTTGCTATACTCCAAGAGTGCTGAAAAAGTGCAAAGAAAACTAAAATCATCAAGGGAACACATGTACTCCACCCTCAGACTAAACGTGGTTCTTTGGTGATTTTTTTCCCCCCCACACATTTAAAATGGCCCTTACTTAAGGTTTATTTTTACCTGAATACATATTTTGGGACATAGAGCAGGTCACCCACATCTTATAATTTTCCGTGTGCAGCCTCGATCTAGGCCTAGCACTATAACACCACTAAAACACGGACCTCTGAGAACTGCTTTTCTTCTGTATTCTCTCCCTTTACATTTTCCCATTAGCCTGTAAGATCTCAGTTACCCTACAGACGAAACAGGCTCTTGTTGTCTTGCCTAGGAATCCAACAGTCATTTACAAGCATTTCTATCAAGAACACAGGTACTTTAGGGTGTGGTGAGAAGGGTATGCCACAGTTCCCTGACATCTGTTAGCACCTTAGCTCAGTGTCCTCACAGCAGCTACCAAGTTCATGACAAAACAGAATACAGCAATTGAAAGGCCGGGCATCCTAGGTCCAGGGGGGTGCTCCCCGCCCCAGTGGAGGCCCGTTTTTCACTTAGGAAGTCATTCATCACTCAAGCGTTTGAAATTTCATGAGCAGTTAGATCTTTTAAAAGCCATAAGGGGTGACCATGGCTAACTTTTTCATTTTGTGAGTTTCAGTGTCATTTCATCAATGAAAGGGCAAATATAGGAAGAAGTGGAAGGAAATATCCGGAGGCTTTAGGAACCGGCTAATATTTCTACGTCTCACTGCCTGTATCTCATAGAGCCAGCTCCTCAGCTCATGAAACATGATTTAAGAAAAAAGAAAAAAAAAATTCCCCTTCCAGAAGTTTAAATTGGTACAAAATTCTTAACTGGAAAGTACAAGCACATACAAATTTTAAATATTCACAGATGGAAAGTATGATACATACAAGCAACTCTTCGCAGTGTTCATCAGAAGTCATTTTGTTCTCGGAGGGGTCCATTTTTCTCGTGTCTTTTGCAGTGAATTACAAATGAATTCATCTAAAAAAAAAAAAAAAAGCCAGGCCAGGCGTGGCTCAGCGGTTGAGCATCGACCTGGGATCCAGGCGGTTGGGGTTCGATTCCCAGTCAGGGCACATGGCCGGTTGCGGGCTCGATCCATGACTCTCTCATCATTGATGTTTCTCTCTCTCTCTCTCCCTCTCCTTTCCTCTCTCTGAAATCAATAAAGGTATATTTTTTAAAAAAACTGAATTCACCTAAGGTCCTGCATTTGTATCGAAGTTGGTCACAGGTTTTATGACAGAAGGAGCAACGATGATCTTGGATTATCCTGAACGCCGGGTGGACTTCTTCGCCTCACTCGGGTAAGCATCTGTTGAAAGCCAGAAAAACTAGCAAACCCACGATCCCTGATGAGAATAAACAACAGGTTTGACCTGACTTTTAACCTGGAGCAAAACATATTGCGGGAGGCTTCCCGGGCGGCCTGGGTAAGAAAGGAAAGAAACAGGAAAAGCAGAACTCGCCCAGGCTGCGTTCAAATGGGCCGCAGCGGCAGCCGCCTTCGGGCTAGATGCTCGCGTCCGCCTGGTCGTCGGAGACCGACGTGTCCTCGGGGCCCGCGAAGGACTCGAGCAGCCGGAAGCGCTCGTGCAGCGCGGGCAGCGAGCGCAGCATGTTGTACACCCGCGCGCGCAGGCGCNCCTCACCCGGGCCGCGGACGCCGACAGCGACTGCAGGACTCTGGACGCCCTGCTCTGGAAGACTTTTGTCCTGACCGTGTAGAGGATAAAAATCTGCAGCCCCTGTTAGGCGGGATGAAAGCTTAGCGTCAGACAGGCGCGGAGCCAGCGGACGCGTGGTGATTCCGCCTCGCCCCCACCCTCTCTCCTGGGCCGCCGACACCCCAACTTGACACCCTGAGTAGCATCGGGAGCTGAGTTGACAGCACTGTGCCCGCGATTATTTCTTGATTTTGACAACGCCCTGGGGCTATACAAGGTAATTATCAATTTAGGGGAAGCTGGGCAAAGAGTACGTGGGAACTCGGCAGCACCGTTTTTTGGTGTGTGTTTTTTTTTTTTGCAACTTCTTGTGTTAAACTCTTTCAAAAAGAAAAGTTGTTAAAAATAAATACTCATGGAGCCCGGCCGGTGTGGCTCAGCGGTTGAGCATCGATCTAGGATCCGGGGGGTCCAGGTTCAATTCCCGGTCGGGGCACATGCCCGGGTTGCGGGCTCGATCCCCAGCAGGGGGCGTGCAGGAGGCAGCTGATCAATGACTCTCTCATCACTGATGTTTCCATCTCTCTCTCTCCCGCTCCCTTTCTCTCTCTGAAATCAATAAAGATATAATAAAAATAAATATCCATGGATGTCTTCCAGATTGGCATCCGTATGACCCCTAAGTCTTATAAGAATTTATTTCTAGAATTATATTCCATAACTTTGGGAGACTTCTGGCGCTATGGTAAGATAATCCAAAGACTCTGAGAGTCTGACTAACAGAATCAATACTTATTGGCAAGAGATAGACCAGTTCGCTGGACAAAGCAGGGGGATTAATCTGATTGTTAACCAGCAGATGGTATCTAACGCAGCTGAAGAAGGCCTTGATGACACAGGAAGTGCGCATGGGAACATGGGTTTCAGAAGGACAAAAATGGTCATTGGCCATTCTGTTTGTTCACGGGAGAGAAATTTATTTGGGGGACATGAGAAATCTGGTCTCTAGAAAAGCTCCTCTCTGTGCGGTATTTCATCTGGCTTCTCCAGAATTTAAATTCTAAGTAAAAGATAATACAGGATAGAATTTCTGGTTGTACAATAATTAGGAAAAGACCTAGACTATGGAGAATCCATGAAGACACTATCCTGTGGAAGTCTGTCTCACCACACACACACACACAAAAGTTAAGTATGTGATGTGGATTGTTAATTATTTTGATCTTGGTAATCATTCTACAATGTATAGGTATATCAAATCATCACATTGTACACTTTATATATATGCAATTATATTTGTCAGTTATTCTCAATTATCCCTCAGGAAAGTTTTTTAAAAGATAAAATAAATAATCTTATAAAAATTTTAAAAGAGAGGGAAAGAGCCCTGGCCAGGTTGCTCAGTTGGAGCATCATCCCATACATCAAAAGGCCACGGGGTTGATTCCCAGTCGGGGTGCATACGGGAGGCAACCGATTGATGTTTCTCTCACATTGGTGTCTCTCTCTCTCTCTTCCTCACCTCTCCCTCTGAAATCAATAGAAAACAAAATTTTTTAATCCAGCCCACCCCATATGGGTCCAAGTTCCAGCAATAACTGTAACATTGTCTTTTCTGACCACAGTTAGTAGCTGCTGTGAACCTGTAGCATGGGAGAAAAGGAAAGGAAGTGTTTCCCAAGCTATTTGCCTGGCAAAGTCTCTCCTGCTCTGAGAAGAGGGACTAACATGATCCAAACTTAGGGATATTATATTCTATGTACTTTAGCAAAGGAAAGGACATAGTAGTTAAGTCATAAAGAACTTTCTTTTGTCTTCCCTCAAAGGATACTAAAATAGAATCTCTTAAAGGTACTAAGCAATGACCTTCAGGAAGCTTTAAAAGGAGCAAACTTTGGTGCACAGCAATATCACCTCCACTGCATGGTCTGTTACTTTCAGCCATACCTGAGTAGTGTTGAAGAGGCAGAATATGTAGCTGAAGACGACCCTGACGTTATCATTATCAGTTAGCATAGAGTATGCCAGAATCCAGGTCATTCCTAAAACGACTGCAATTGATACCGTGCTAAAAATCTTCTTTAGCACTGAAACCTTTTTTGTGCTAGGTAAGAGAAAGCAAGAAAGAAAATATGGTTCATTCAGTTATTTTTCTTATTAATATCATTGTTACCCTACTATTGAGAATATATATTCAGCTGCCCATATATACTGCTCATTTAACAACATTATGCCTCCGGTGGAAAAATGATACTAGACCTATGCCATGCTGGATAGAATCTGATTTGGCAAGCCTTATTAAGAAATACAGTGATAGCTGTATCAGGCATAAACAGTTCCTTCAATACTTACAGGCAAATTTCACAAAGAATCAATGCTTTCTTTGGAAGATAATTTTATTTTAGTGATTATTACTATTGGATTGGCCAGTGAGAAACTGTTTTTTGGGGTATCTGGAACCTTCCCATGATGGAGGCTGATAATGGGAATGAAAGGTTATTAAAGTGCAGAGTGATCTTCCCTTGATAGTGGGACAATTACTAATATCTCGCTGGTGAGAGGCAGTCAAGCAGAGGCTTGAAAGCATTTTTTCATCAGAGTTTGCCTTCTCTTATTGCTCTTTGGAACCCTGAGCCCACTATGTTAAGATGCCTGCACCACTTTAGTGCAGGATGAGAGACCACGTGGAGAAAAGGTGAGTTTTCCCCACTGAGCAGCTACCACTCAATACCAACCCACCACTGTGTAATACCAGGCAAGAGAGTCACTCTAGATCATCCACCCACATTCAGGCCAGCCCAAACCAGGACAACTACCCAACCAACACTCAAACTTATGACAAATTATAAGCATTTGCCATTCTAAGCCATTAAGTTTTGGGGTGGTTTGTTATGCAGCAAAAGCTAACTGATACATGAAAGATAACTTGTTAAACAATTAAATCATAACATGCTTTTCATTGTAACAAAATTTAGAAATACAAATCTGGTTGATGTCTGAGGCCAAAACGACATTGTTTTGTATAAAGGAAATATAACCTAATTTGCAATTAGATTGAGAATTGCAAGATTTTTCTGCATTTCTAATAAAACATAGGTTTAAATGATTATCACTGATAATCTTTCCCCATATTTCTCATCAAATGGACTATCATTCATATAGAAAAGATGATACTACTCTTGATTGGTAAGTCACATATGTAAGCTGTCCCACTGATGAGAGTTGTTTTCATCATCTGTTCATACCAAGTGCATTGATTTGATGACCAGCAAAGCTCATGGATAAGTCTTGTTGGGCTAAGAATTAAACCTGAATTCATAGCTTCATTGGTACTGTGTTTTAACCAATTTTTACTGTGGGAGATGGGTGGTGGGGTGTGGGGAGAGAATATATTTAATATTTTCTGTTCTTTCTCTCCCCCCCCAAAAGCTTTTTCTGTTTATCAGGGATGATAATGAAAATGCTTATTGGGGTCCGAAAGGATATATAAAGGAGAGAAGCAGTCCACATGGGAACTGATGAAGAGAGCACATGCCCCATCTGCGGGGAATGTGGGCTTAATGTTGCCAGATGTTCCTTTTTCTTCCAAGAACAAAAAACACAAAATATTTTTAAAGTGAAATATTCCTATTATTATATGTTTACAAGTAAAATATATAAATCCGTTATGTGATCCAAGCAACACATGTAAAACATAGGCTACAGCTACTAGTTTACAAAGTGAAAATACAGTTGCCGTCATCTATTCACAACCCTCTCATTTCTTTATTCAAACCTGATTTAATGAGTATTTGGGAGAAAACGGGTTGAGTTTTTTAGTTGGGCTCATATAGCACAAAAGTATGTTGTGTAATGCAGCAGACCCACACTGTAGTGCTGATGCTGGAAGATGAGAAGACCCACTTTCTTAGACAAAGTTTAAGAGAAACTCTGTCCTGCAAACCGCATGTCCCTGCCATTGTCCCAGAGCCTGAAAACCCCACTAGGAAGTGTGGCTGTGTGGCGGTGCTGCATCAGGTGCTGGCGAGTCATGCCTGCTGGCTGCCTATTTCCTGGGAATCTTACCTTGTCAGATTCTGGTTATTCTTCCACAGCACTTTGACTATAATGATGATAAGTATAACAACATTGCTGATGAGGATGATGGTCACAGGCAGAATGAAGGACCACAACAATGGACTTCCTATAAAAGAATCACCTCTTCCTGAAATTGCCAGCCAGCAGCTGTGGAGAGAAAAGACATGATTTCAGAAAGCTAAGAAAGGTGTCCACACTGTTTCTCCATGGTGTTGTCATTATTGACGTGCACTCGATGGAGAGAGGGTGTCCCTCTGCGTCCTATATATTTGAGATGACTTTCAAGAATTCAACCGACTAGAAGAATGAAATGTATTGGTTCTGCCATGTTCCTCTAGGAGATATTATGGGCTAGGGGAAAGAAAATGGGCTTTTGAGTCAGGCAGTCTCATATTCAAATGTCACTCTCAGTCATTAACTAGATGTCTGACTTTAGGCAAGTTATCATTTTATTTTATTTTTGAATATATAGCACATCTAGATGGCTCAAAATTTAAATGGTGCAAACATTCATAGAGAGACAGGATCCCCTCCTACAATTATCCATAGTCGCCTAGTTTCTATCTCCAGTAGTAATCAATGTTTCTTGTGTATTCTTCCAGATTTAGGCTATGCATATACCAGCAAATGTATATTTTTTTCCTGATGTTTAAGCAAATGGTAACATATGATACTTCCATACCTTACTTAACAACATATCTTGGAGATCTTTCCATATCAGAATATAAAGACACACCTCATTATTTTTTAGAGCTACATATTATTCCATTGTTTTGCTATACCATAAATTATTTAAACAGTCTCTTATTAATTGGTATTTTTAAAATTCAATGTTTAAAAATATTTGAGTAGTTATTTAAGCTCATTGCATTAGTTTTTGTTTGTTTTGTTTTGTTGTTGCTATTTGTGGCAGTAGTTTGGTGGTGTTTCCTTCCCATCTGCGAGGTGTAGTAATCATCTCCTGGCATTGTTGTAAGAATTAATTCATTCATTTAATAAGTACTTAAAGAGTATGTTATATGCCAGACACCATTCTAGATCCTAAGATATTAGCAATAAACAAAAAAAACCAAAATCCTTTTTTTAGTGAATTTATTCTAGTGCAGAGAAATTGGTAAAACTAACAAATAAATAAAATATATATCCTGTCAGATGGTGACAAGTGCTGTGGAGAAAAATAAAGCAGGTAATGTGGGTATTTATTACTGCGTGTGGGCATGGTTCATTTAATACAATGGTCAGGAAAAGCCTTACGGGGAAAAAAGTCATACTTGGGGAAAGATCTGAAGTAGATGAGGGGGAAAGGAATTTCAGGCAGAGGAAACAGCAAGTGCAGAGGCCTTGAGTTGAGGGCTTATGGAACAGCAAAGAGGCTACAGCGGCTAGAACAGAGTAAGTAGATGGGATTAGTGGAAAGATGTATATTATGTCAGGGTTTTATAGGCCATTGTATGCACTCTTGGCAAGAAAGAGAAACTTGATATAATATCTTGAGTTTTAAAAGTATTAGTCCAGCTAAATGCAAAGATAAGAGAAAGACATATGCAAAGGTAGAAAATCCGCCAAGAGTTTATTGCAATAATCTGGTGGCTTGGAACAGGAGAAGTGATTTTAAGAACTAGTATGGTTCCAACTAATTCAAAAGAATATATGCACCCCTATGTTCATTGCAGCATTATTTACAATAGCCAAGATTTGGAAGCAGCCCAAGTGATCATCAGTAGATGAGTAAAAATCTGTGGTACATCTACACAGTGGAACATTACTCAGCTACAAAGAAGAACAAAATCTTACCCTTTGCAACAGCACGGATGGATCTGGAGAACATTATACTAAGTGAAATAAGGCAGTCAGAGAAAGACAAATACCATATGATTTCATTCATATGTGGAATCTAATGAACAAAATAAACTAGTAAACAAAATAGAAACAGACTCATAGATAGAGAATAGACCAAAAGCTGTCAGAGGAGAGGGGGGTTGTGGGGCTGGGTGAAAAAGGTGAAGGGATTAAGCAGAAAGGACCTCATAGACATAGATAATAGCATGGGGGGAAGGAGGGTTGGGAGAGGCAGAAGAGGGTATAAGGGGAATAAATGGTAATGGAAGGAGACTTGGTGTGGGGTGGTAAACACACCATGCAATATACAGATGATGTATTATAGAACTGTACACCTAAAACCTATATAATTTTATTAACCAATGTCACTCCAATAAATTCAATAGAAAAAAGAAAAAAGAAATAGTCTGGTTCCAGGTATAAGTAAAGCAAAATTATTTATCTTATTGAAAGGTTGTATGTGAGATGAAAGAGACTTAAGGATGACTCCAGAGTCTTTGGCTGAGCTCCTGGAGGAATGGAATCATTAACTGACATAGGGAAGGTAATGGGAAGAGCAGGTTTGGGAGGGAAGACCAGGAGATGTCTTATTAGACAGCAAGTGGAGGTGTCAAGTAGGCATTTGGGTATTAATGTGAGAAGCTCTGGCATATATTTGGCATTCAATTAATGTATGTTTTCTTCCCCTCTAGGTAAAACACCATCATTATACATGTTAAAAGATTTCTAAACTGTTTTGCTTTGGATGCTGTTATCATTTAAATCATTACAAATCATATTTCTAATCTGAATGATCTACAAGGAAACTACATTGATGCTCAAGTCTCTGTAATGAATTAAAAAATGAAAAAGGGTGCCTCTAATCCACTAATACATAGAATAGGTCCATCCTTAAATAAAATGGCGAGAGTGAGCGAGTTTATCTTCAGGACTTCTGGCTTCCCTTTGCTTTCGCCTGTAACTGGAGAACAGCTCTCCTGTCATCCTCCATCTCACAATTCCCTACACAGGAGAAATGAGGGCACTTGGCTAAGAATTTAATGAAATCCTGATGGAAAGTCCTTTCAAATCTCAAGAAGCTTTTTTGGTGACTAAGCAAGTGACTATCAAAAGTTTGAAATGAAAAAGATGAACACGTCTTATCCAGGAAGCCTAAAGAAACACAGTTTATTTATTTATTTTTAAACATATCTTTATTGATTTCAGAGAGAGGAAAGGAGAGGGATAGAGAGACAGAAACATCAATGATGAGAGAGTCACTGATCAAGCCCGCAACCCGGGCATGTGCCCTGATGGAGAATCGAACCCCGATCGCCTGGATCCTAGGTTGACCCTCAACCGCTGAGGCACGCCCGGCTGGGCAGAAACACAGTTTAAAAGGGGAGGAGCCCGGCCGGCGTGGCTCAGCGGTTGAGCGTCAACCTAGGATCCAGGCGATCGGGGTTCGATTCCGGTCAGGGCACATGCCTGGGTTGCAGGCTAGGCAGCTGGTCAATGACTCATCATTGATTCTATCTCTCTCTCACTCCCTCTCCTTTCCTCTCTCTGAAATCAATAAAAATATATTTTAAAAAAAAAGGGAGAGGAAAAGATTAAGAAAGAAAACGAACAATCCAACTCTCCTGGATAAAGGAGACTTGCAAATGAATCTTGAGTTGTTTAAACTTTAGACGATACAGTTTCTGAGAACGACTATGCTATAGACGTGTGTGTGTACAAATGTCTGTAAGATTCCCCAACTACCTCACACTGATGGGGAGACCTGAAAAGGAAATAAGCTTGGGCACCCATGGTCATTAGGAAGGGTGCACCAGGAGGGGACTCCTCCTCACCACCTCTATCCTTTGTATTACTTGGAAAGAATCATGCTAAATTTGTTCTCACAACAGCCTCTCCCTTTATTATCCTTAATTTATTAACTCAGATTTTGAGAAGTAGACTGCTGAGGAGAGAGATGGATCCTAGAGTGAGACTAACCTCTGTAGGCCTGGAGCAAGATTTCTAGAGTGGGGATTGGAAAGTCATACCGTGTAAGATGAACTGACAAACACTTATGGACCTGAGGCCTGGAGAGCATCATAAGTGGCCTCAGATGAAGTGTTTATCTTGCCTGGTGATTTTGCCATGAAGCACGCCATGAAGACAGCTTTCACATACATAGCATACATTTGAATAATTTCCCCCTTCATGCATTATAATTTCTCATGATTACCTCAACCCTTCAAAAAAGCCTGAAAACAGCCTATATGATGGTGGTACAGAGAACTGGGGGACAGAGCATTAAGGAGGAGCATGGCCTGCCCTGCCTTTGCCCCTTAATTGGTTCCTTCTTGCAAAGATAGCATGTCAGGGGAACTGGGTTAGGGTTTCAGGTATCACTGGCAGAGCAGGGAGCCGTGGGGCAGAGCATAGGATATTGAGGCTCAACCACTGGGAGGAAAACCAAAAGAGTCCCTCCTCTTTCTAAATAAATCCTGAAGGAATGTCACCCTTGATGCCTGCGTACAGGGTGGAATGTGAAGGATAAGGGTCCAAGAGGAGGCAGATGCTACACATCCTTTCCTCTCTCCACAACTTTTATTATCCGTCGCCTAGCGTCTTCCCTAACAGCCAGTACTGTACTCATGAACAAATCAGGAAAGAATCTGCTCTCAATTATTTATAGCTCGGTGTGAATAAATTTAAGACAGTGGTCTTCTTTCTCCTAAAGGCTTTTTTAGGAGTAGGTCAAGCCCTGTGCCTGGGTTATGGTAGGAAATTAAAAATGCAATTTGAAGTAAATTATCTCTCCCATGAGATATTTGCATCTTCTCCCGATCTCTAATAGTGGAGTTCAAAATTTAAACTCATTAAAAGATACTTAACCCTAATTAAACGGAGAAAATAGTACCTGAAGTGTTTGGCTCCTAAAAATCAAACCAGGGAGGTAGCCTCCTATTCCACAGCTGGGCATAGGTAGGTTAGCCCTGGAAATAGGTAAGCACCCTAACACCACAGCCTCCCCTCGAGTGTATTGCACATTTCCAAGAGTTTTATTTTTATTTGAGTTGGTCTGGGTCTGAAGGTGGAATGTGGGGATAAGAATGATTGGGTTATAAGAGGAGGGAGGATCAGTTAAAGAGCAGTTGTTTCGTAGTAGAAATACACGTAGAAAGTTCAGCTCAGCTCTCTCCTCTCCCTCCCCACGNAGAGGAGGGAGGATCAGTTAAAGAGCAGTTGTTTCGTAGCAGAAATACACGTAGAAAGTTCAGCTCAGCTCTCTCCTCTCCCTCCCCACGCAAAAAGCCAACGCCATCCAGCCAGGAACTTCCACGATCAACAGTTATTCAGGCTGGAGTCACAGGGAGAAATTGTTATGTGTCATAAATCATCATGAAATATTCATTATAATCATATAAACATAAAATTGGCTCGTTAGCATGGATAGTGCTCTTCAGGTTATGACAAGTTTCCACATTTGTTTCGCCCCTCACAGGAACCGCTGAGCAGGTGCTTCTGTTATTGTGGTTCTGTTATCTACATGAGAAAACTATGGCAAGATGTCACTGAGGATCACACCTATTTTGTCCTATAATTTTTCAGACAATAAAAAGTTCAATTTAACATAAGAAAGTTCAAATTTATAAATTTAGGAGGTAAATGCTTGCTTTACCAAAAGATTTATCAGAGGAAACTTTCATGTCACCATATTTAAAATATAATGTGTTCTTTGAGAATTTGAAACACCCACTTGGAATATGACAATTACTATAAAGTGAGAGGCATGTGTACAGTGACAGTTGGACTCAACATCACTGAATAGTTGCACTCATATCAAAGACATGGGCATCTTAAAATATATAAACTCACATTTCTTCTTGCCGGTAGTTTAACTCCCATTGTGAAGGATCCTGAGAAAAAGTAATTCCCATCGTCATAGCCACCACGACAGCTGGGACTCCTAGATGATAAAGAGAGGCACAGAATTAATAATTTACCTAAGACTGGGATTAATTATAAAAGATCATGAATGAATTATACAATTCACCCTTTTCAGGATGTATTGTTCTTTCCACTATAGACAATGTACTAAATGACCCTACAGATGTAGGTCAACAGTTTTCAATTTATTTTTCTTAAAGAGTCACTCTAATTGTCTTTCTTAAACATTTCTTTTAAAGTAGCTAGAAAGTTTTTTGTGGTCTAAATCTCAAATCAAATTAATAGAGATGTTGAAGGATATTAACATCTTGAAGTTAGCTTATGACATATCTAGTAGAGCTGCCTTGATCCACCTGCCTCCATAGAACTATGAGCTCCTGGGTGGAAGGCACTTTTACTGATTTCTGAATTTTCTATCTCCCCTACCTCAAGGCCTGGTACTACTAGGCTTTCAATAGGCATTTGGTTAAATTAAATTATTTCCATTAGAAAAATGGAAATTAAAACCACAATGAGATATTGCCTCACACCTGCCAGAATGGCTGTCATCAATAAATCAACAAACAGCAAGTGTCGGCGAGGATGTGGAGATAAGGGAACCCTAGTACACTACTGGTGGGAATGCCGACTGGTGCAGCCACTATGGAAAGCAGTATGGAGGTNAATGTGGAGATAAGGGAACCCTAGTGCACTGCTGGTGGGAATGCCGACTGGTGCAGCCACTATGGAAAGCAGTATGGAGGTTCCTCAAAAATTAAAAATGAAACTGCCTTATGACCCAGCAATTCCACTTCTGGGAATATATCTAAAGAAACAGGAAACGCTAATTCAAAAGAATATGTGCACCCCTATGTTGGGAGCCAGTGACTTGTCTGGACATGGTCCACGTCACCTGAGGGTCTGGAGTCAGGGACTCGACCCTCCCCACAATGACCCTGGATATTGAGAGCCCGCTATGTGTCTGGACATGGTCCACGTAGCCTGAGGCTCTGGAGCCAAGGACTCAACCCTCCCCGAAGATTCNTCCCAAAGATTCCTGTGGGGAGCCGAAATTAAGATAGTTACAAAGGTCTGAGCTCATGCAGGAGGCAGGATGTTTACGCTAAAAGTGTGTCTGTGCAGCCTGGGAAGAACTACTTTGTATCACCCTCACTTTCTTACCAGTTGTTTGTTACTCACTATATAATAAAGGCGTTGAAGCCATTTGGGGCTGCACCTCACTGGAGGGCAGCCCTCCTGATCCCATAACTGTGTTTGTCTCTAATTCCCACCGCTCGAACTCAGGTTTGTTCGTCTTTCGGGCTGGTTCCTGACACCCCTATGTTCATTGCAGAATTATTTACAATAGCTAAGGTATGGAAGCAGCCCAAGTGCGCATCAGTAGATGAGTGGGTAAAAGAGCTATGGTACATCTACCCAATGGAATACTACTTGGCCATAAAAAAGGAAGGAAATCTTACCCTTTGCAACAGCATGATGGACCTGGAGAGCATTATGCTAAGTGAAATGAGCCAGCAGAAAAGGCAAGTACCGTATGATTTTACTCATATGAGGAATCTAATGAACAATATAAATTAACAAACAAAACAGAAACAGACTCATAGATAGAGCCAGGCTGACAGCTGTCAGGGGGGAGGGAGTTGTGGGGCTGGGTTAAAAAGGTGAAGGGATTAAGAAAAAAGCAAAAAAACCTCATAGACAACAGTATGGCGATTGATTACCAGAGGGAAAGGGGAGGTGGGGGAGGTAGAAGCGGATAAAAGGGGGATGAATAGTGATGGAAGACTTGACTTGCAGTAATGAACACACAATGCAATATACAAATGATGTACTATAGGATTGTACATCTAAAACTTATATAACAATGTCACCCCAATAAGTAGAAAAAAAATAAAAGTGATTGCAAAATTAATATTTCAACAAAACCAAATTCCTAAGTAAGTAGAGAAGCAAACTCTTACCCCATCCAATTAAAGAAATGTAAAGAGTGAAATGTCGAGGAAGAGGCTTCATGGTCCTAATGAGAAGGAAATAGAGCTGTGCAGCACTGAGTCCAGTCCAGGTAAACGTCACTAACAGAAAATAGTGCAGCAAGGCAGCAATCGCCGTGCACTGGGCATTCGAAGTGTCCATAATTTCTCTTGTGGGAACTTCATTTTTATTAGAAGCAGTAAGATTGATGTCACGTGTGTCTAAGTTCTTATTGGAGTTTTCAATTCCAAACACAAAGAGGAGATTGAAAATCAACATTGATGTGCACAGACTGACCAATACCCAGGTTACTGAAGTTTTCCTGACTTTCCTGAAAATAAATTAGTAAGTATAATTAAATAAATAAACAAAATAACTGCAAAACATAAATTCAAGTGAAATTGTGAGGAAACAAAGGAATATTATTACCCAATGTAAATCCAGCTTGTAGCCCAGTGGCCAGCTGGTAAATCTACCTTCCCACTACACCAGAAAATCATACTCCATTCTTATCTCATTTCCACAAGGAAGTGAGTTAGAAAAAACAGGTTGTTACATCCTTTCTTGAAATTGTATTCTAATTAAAGGTGATAGCTATTCTCCACGGATGGCCCCCAATGAATTCTACTTCCCAGTATTTATGCCCTGTATATTTACCTGCTAGGGTTGTTGTCCTGTGATTTGTTTTAATTAACAGAATGCAGCAGAAGGCCTAGGGCCAACTTATTCATTAGATTGAGTAGTGCTTAGGGCCTGCAATACTTCTTTTTATGACCCACAACAATGTTTCAACTCCTTTTCTTTTCTTTTTTATTCTTAAGGCATTCATTTATTAAAACATTCTCTGCCTAGACTTTACATTAGCTTAAAATTTTCAATCCAAAAGAAAACAATAAAAACGAACTTTTATGTCAAAGAAAGAAATTTAGCATATAATATTAATATGTTCATCTTTATACCAATGCTATCATAAAATATAATGTTTCTCCTTTTTTTATGGAGGAGAGTCTCACAAAGGCAAAAGTGCCTAGGACACATGAAAGTCATAACAAGCTTTCCTTTTCTGCTCCTGGGAGTTCTGAGTCACCACGTAAAATTCCAGCTACCCTGTAAAAGAACCTCATGGAAATGCTCTGAGACTATGTGGAGAGAAAGACCAGGCCTTTGCAGCATCCCAGCTGAGCCTTAAGATGACTCCAATCCTGTGACTGCAGTCTCATGGGAGACCCAAGGTGAGACCTTTGGAAGAACCGTCCAACTGAGCCCAATCAAGTCACAGAATCATTAGAGATAATAAATTGTTTCAAGACACTAAGTTTTAGGGCGGTTTTTTATAGTGCAATAGACCGTAACTCCTCAAGATTTGCAAGGACATACAAAGGCTATCTACAGAAAGGTTCTAAAAGGATTTTTCAAATTTTCAAAATAGAAAATTATTGCACATTAGTAGATGAACCCATATGCAAAAGTTTCTTGAGTTTTTAAAAGTATTTTATTCTAAAATTTATGAGTAAATTTTAAAAGAATAAGGCCAGATATAATTTTTAACTAACTTTATAATTTTAAGTAACATTACACTTATTAAACTAACAAAATGCTTTAATCTAACAAACTGCTATAAGGTTTAGCTTACATTACATTTAAAGAGTGAGGCTCCTGTAAACACTTCAGATTAAGTAAAAATATTTAAAATTTGTTTACTGGCCCATTGCTACTAATGATATTCTTCATAATTTGAATAGACTGATGATTATTATCTCTGTAAATGACTTATATTCAACAAAAAGTCACATGTGTCTTTTCAGTAAGACACTTCATGGAGTATCTCCCAAGGACTATAGTTCCAAGGACCATACTTTGGGAAATACTGATAGTCAAATGGCCAAGATGTTATGAATGGGCCTTTTAATGTCAAGCATGCCCAAGGACTTTCATAGGAAGATATAATTCTGAATGTAGAACCAAGTGCTCTTTAAATTTTTTTCTTCTTCTTCTCATATTTACCTAAGATTTTGCTAGAAAAACTTTTTCTCATTTTGTATACAGGCTGACATTTTTTAACAGTAGTATTCAGAAGACAGTGAGATGAAATAGAGAAAGAGTTGGGGAGAAAGAGAGAGGAGAGAGAGAGACCTGCAGTGGCCCATGTGTGTATCTGGACATTGGCAGAGAATTCAAGATTGCCCTTAATAAAGTTGATCTCAAGTGTGAGGTTTGATATTCTTTTTACTGTGAGTGTATTGTTTTCCATAATGTTTAAAGGCAGATATATCCTTAAATCCCTTCTAGTGACATTACAGTTCTCTGTAGACTATGGTATACAGTCCTATATTAATGAAAGTTATAAAATCTTCAGTCACTACTATCTAAATAAACCCTTTTCGATTTTTCAGGTGACAAGGCCTCTTAGAGTAACTGTTTCCCAAAGTTTATTACTGTGCTTGAAGTTCTAACATCTTCAAGTGCCCCTCTGTTTTTAATGTCCCAGAATTTGATAAGTCTGTTTGCTGATTATATGTCCTTTATGATTTTATAACATTCCATCATGATCTTTCTCAGTCTTTGGATTTTTATGCTGAATAAAAACCTTATATTCAAACAGAACTTTGTCCATCCTCTTGACATTTTAGTTGAGATTTAGTTGAGACCTACAAAAAATACTCAAAAGAATCCTTTTATATAAAGTTACTTTCTAATTTTTCTCTAATTTCAAACATAAATTATAATCCACAGGAGAATAGGCTTTTTTCAAATAGTTTGGCTCTTCTATATATTACTATATTCTGTGCCTTATTATATATACACACAAATATATATTACATATAATAAAAAATATACATATTATTTTTATATGGGAACCTGCCCATAACAAAGAAAACTATTTGATTCAGGATTTTAAAATCAACACAATTTTGTTTTTGTTTTTCTTTCCTGATGAGTTTTTAGTGACAATTATGGCAGCACCGTTGTGCTAAGAAACATGTTGATAGAAGATGCAAAAAAATCTGATGACAATTAGGAGTGAAATTTTAGGCAAAGAAACTAGTTATGCCGCCACCACAATTATTCCCATGGGATCAAATAATTGTCTGTTCCAGTGTGGTGATGGTAGAAATACGAATAAAAAGGCAAATATAAGAGCCATTTCTTTTTGTAAAACTGACTTGTAATTACATGGCATGTAATTTTCCTTCAAGGCACTTACCACCTTTGTAATTATATATTTATTTCCATATATATTTGTATAACATTTGTCTTCCCCCTGAAAATGTAAATACCATGAGAGATGGGAACTTATCTGTCTTGTTCATAGTAAGCACTCAATATAAAAATTGTAAATGAATGACAAGATACTCATTGAGTGTGAAAGATAAAGAAGAGAAGTCTTTGGGAAAATGGCTGATTCTAAGTATGGGGCAGAGAAAGTGATAGATGGGCCGTTGTCATCTTGCTGTGGCTGAAATAAGTGCTTAGGATGGACAGGGACGTCACAAAACAACACAAAGCGGTTCCCTCTGGTTACATTGGAGAGTACACTTTTTAAAAAATATATGTTTTTACTGATTTTTTAAAAGAGTGAGGACGGCAGAAGGAGAGAGAGAGAAACATCCATGAGAAAAACAGCAATCGGCTGCCTCCTGCACTGTCCCCGCTGGGGATCGAGCCCACAGCCGGGCCACGCGCCCTGACCGGGAATCAAAACAGTGGCGTCGGGTGCATTTTTTACAAAGGTATATAGTGACTAAATATAGAATGATAGGTTAAAAAATTATTATTTTCAACCACCAGTGAAAGAGCACATTGCAGTAAGGAACATCCGTGGCTACCAGAACCATCGAGTGGAAGGTGGGGCGAGGATAGCAGCAGTCTCAGGGCATCACCCCAGGGGTTACCTGTTATTTACAAAGGGACAAAGTGAACCTTTACAATATAGAAATCTTGCGGACACCGCTTTAAACAAGGAATCGAACTTAACCAGTAATGGCACAGACCGACACCGTGTACTTCTTGCTGCGTCACACTGGAAGACTTAATGACTTAGTGCTCTCCTAAAAAATATTTAGCCTGTATCTAATCATGAGGAAAATTTCGGACAAATCTGAAATTGTAGAATATTCCACCTCCTGCAAAATAACTGACCTGAATACTTCAGAAGTTTTAATGTCGTGAAAGACCAAAACAAAAAAACAAAGCAAAGGAATTAGCCCAGGCTGGGTGGCTCGGTTGGCTGGAGCTTCGTCCCGTACACCGAAAGGTTCCGGGTTCGATTCCAGGTCAGGGCACAGACCTAGGTTGCAGTTTCCTCTCCCCGCGCGGGGAGTGTTTGGGAGGCAACCGATGGATCTCTCTCTCTCTCTCTCTCTCTCAAAAATCAATAAACATATCCTCAGTGAGAATAAAAAAAAAGCAGAGGAATTATTCTAGGCTAAAGGAGAATAAACAGATATGACAACTAAATAAATTGAGGGGAAAAACAGCTATAACAGACATTCTTGGGACAATTAGAAGAAGTCTGAATATGCATTATATATTAACACAATAACAATATATTAATGTTAAATTTCTTGGGTTAAAGTTCCTGAGTGAGACTAAGGGTATTATACCATGTAGGAGACTGCCCTTGTTCTTAGGAGATATGTGCTCAGAGTTGAGAAATGAGAGTCATGATGCCTACAACTTACTTTCAGAATTTCAGGGAAAAAATAGAAAAAAAGATAGAGCAAAATATTAAAAACTGGTGAATGTAGGTGAAGGGTATATGGATGTTCAGTGTTCTCTTTCAACTTTTCTGTAGGTTTTTAAAAATTTATCTTTATTGTTTAAAGTATTACAGATGTCCCCTTTTTTCCCCATTGACCCCTTCTACCCCACAACCACCTTCCACCCCAGGCCTTCATTACACTATTGTCTGTAGGTTTTTTAAAAAATAAAACTTCAGGAAAAAAATTTAAACAGCAGTACCTTTAAAATAAAGAAATTATATGCATATATGCATAACCAATGGACACAGACAATAGTGGGGTGAAGGCCTGGGGTGGGGCAGGGGCTGGGAGGAGGCGGGCTAAAGGGGGAGGGACTGGGGGACATCTGTAATACTGTCAACAATAAAAAAATTTTTTAAATAAACTGCAGCCTGGGCCGGTTACTCAGTTGGTTGGAGCATTGTGTCCTGCACCAAAAAGGTTGCAGGTTCCATTCCAGGTCAGGGCACATACCCAGATGGCGAGTTCAGTCCCTACCTGGGGCACTTACGGGGAAATAAGAGATTATCTATCTATATCTATCTATCTATCTATCTATCTATCTATCTATCTATCTATCTATCTATCTATCTATCTATCTATCTATCTCTATCTATCTATCTATCTATCTATCTATCATCTATCTATCTATCATCTATCTATATCTATCTATCTGTCTATCTATCTATCTATCTATCATCTATCTATCTATCTATCTATCTATCTATCTATCGATCATCATCTATCTATCATCTATCTATCGATCGATCGATCTATCTATCATCTATCATCTATCTATACTCTCCCTCCCTGTCTCTCTCTCTCTCAAAAAAGTCAATAAACATATCCTCAGGTGAGGATTAAAATAAATAAATAAATAACTGTAAATCTAAAAATCTGAGAAAACAGTTATGAAGGAATTTAGTAGCGAGAAATAATTCTGAAGGGAAGAGGAATTTGAGATATCTTGAGTGTGAGAGGAGAAGCGGGTAGGAGTGCACAATAGGCCCATTTACTCCACAGATATTCCTCTGCCATGTATGAGCCAGGTATCGCGGTCAGTCTTGGGGATACAGTGATGAAAACAAAGCAAACCAACAACAGCAAAAACAAAATCAGAGGAGGTCCCTGTTCTCATCAGTTTTCATGCTGATGGGGAAAACCGATAGTACACAAGTAAACGAGCAAGCTTACGCGTCCAGATTCTTAAAAATGTAGCATGTAACAAAAAAACAAAAGTGCTAGACCAAACTGGACCTTGAGTGAGGGGGCCAAGGTGGAGAGAAATACATATTTATAAGTAATTTGTAATTAGATTTTTAAAGCTATGGAATTTAAAAACTTTAAAAAGTTTCACCATTTGAAAAGAATATATTTTTAAAATTATTCTTATTTTCAAAAACTTTGCTGCTTAGCAATATTTCTTTCTTCTACAAATGCAAAATAGTAATTATGGCTCTATTCAATGCAAAGGAGCTGTGACATGTTAATTTTAAATGACAAACTTGTAATTGTATGGTATGTAATTTTCTTCCAAAGCACTTACCAGTTTGCAATCATATACTTATTTGTGTGTATTTCTTAGCCTCTCCAGGCTTGAGTGTCTTCTTCTGTAAAAATGAATGTGTTGAACTAAATCTGATTTCCCTTCTAGTTTCGAGAAACTATATTCTGATGATAATATGCTCAGAGGAAATGAAAAGGACAGCAATTTCTCTCATGAGAGGAGCCAGCTTCCCTTCTTACCTGGTGACAATCTGAAATATAATTGTGAGAGCCAGGCCAGTAATGGACAGCGCACATCCAAAGGTGGATAATTTGTCAAGTGGGTCAGGATATTTATAGTTCCTTTTGAAACTCTGGAAAATAAGACAAGACTAATATTTTTAAATAATCATTACTGAAATGTCTATGAAAGTCAACATCATGAGAAGTTACATTGGTCAAAATAACCAGATAATTGTTACATATGTCTTCTTTTTATAACTGTTGATATATTTTAAAAGGGAATAAATGAACCCCTTATTGCTAAGCAGTTTACATGAAGTAGGGCTTGACAAGTTATTAACTAATTCAGTAAGGGAAAACCTACATACTGTTCCTCAGTGTGTAAAATCAAAGTTGTTTGGGTGAGATCTAAATTGGCTAGAGTTGCTTCATTTATCCATCACAATATTTTTATGTGTAACTATAATCCAAGGGTAAATCAGCATATCTAAGCTGATGCCCTAAAAATAAAGTTGCAGAAATATTTTTAAGAATATGAAAAGATGTTCACATGATCCTGTCATTTTTTAAAGGCCTAGTTTTTGTGTAATATATCTCTGTCTATCCCAGTATTTTAGTATATATCCATGAAAAGTATATTTCATGTAAGTATGTATTCTTAGAACTCTAGAAAGGTAATAATAGTGGTGACTGGTGGGTAAGATATATATGGATATATATATATAATTATTCTTGCTTGTCTGTACTTTCTAATTTTCTTAATTGTTAAAATTTAAAAAGTCATATATGTTTATTTATAAAACATGAAAGTAATATAGACACATAATTTTAAAAGCATGTTTCTCTTTACTGTCAGCTACCCCACATCTTACCCTACCTCTTGAAATCCTGTCTCTTCTACAGAGGGGACCTTTTTTTATGTGCTTATAAATATTATCTATGTCTCTTGCACAAATACATAGGGGTTTGTTAACATTATAATAGAATTATTCTCGAATTGCTATTGAAGATCTCATAAAATTTTTCTATACCAGTATATTTCTGTTCAGTAGATAAACTTTCATACTTTATGCAGTATATATTTTTTATGTAGAAATAAAAATAAGATAAACTTCATTTTAAATAATAATAAAAATTTCATGTTGACAAAAAATCGTAGATAATACCTAGATCTTCAGATCATAGAAATCATCTCTTCACTTAGAGCCTGCCTGCTCTTACTTTACATACTATTCTAATCAGCCTTTTGAAAAATTTTGCAACCCAAAACGAACTGCAAATATGAGTAGGTAGTCACTGAGGCAGATTCAGATAATAGTGAGAACTAGCTGAAAGCCTGACCTCAAGAACAGGAAAAAAGTAACTATGACAGTGTACTGTCTTGTTTACTATTCACAACGTCTGAGCTACCAAAAAACTTAACATTTTACCTTTATTATGTTCTGATTGAGAAAGCGCATCTCTGTGTAATACAAGTTACAAAATAAACAATCAAAATCAACTAAGGTTTTATAACTAAAATAAGAAAACTACAGCCATCTCAAAAAGACTGTAAAAGCAATGTTCTCTAATTTGGTGGTCTCCGTTGTTCCAGTGTGTTCTGATCTCCGCTGGCTTCCCAAAGGTGGCTACATCATGGCTACTAGGGAAGGAAAACATCGTTTCTCTTTGGGAGATAGGGTGAGACACCCATTTCATTGCGTATGAAAACATTTCAAGTATATAAACGAATGTTTTTGATGTCACCAAAACAATAGGTTTCTGGAGATGGAACGAACAGAAGCCCCTCTTCTTAAAACGGTCAGCCCAAGAACTTTCAGAGGTGAAATAAAGCTGCACACCAGAGTTACTTGTGCAAGATAGCTGAGGAGTTAAAAGATTTTAGAAATCCTTAAGGGAACTATGGGACAAATTGAATGAATTCAAGAGATTTTCCTCATATCTTCTAGCGTAAACTTAGTAACTTAGATGATTACGTGGAAAAAGCTTTGCGTAACTGACTTAAACTGCCCACCCTTACCTCAGTGTGCACTGAGCCTGTCCCCAACACAGTTCTACAGCCTTACCTCTGGCTATAATGACTTCGTGCTTCAGAACTCGCAAGGTAGTTGAATGAACTCTGTCAGTAACTCTTTTGCACGTGGGCTCCCTCCTCATTAATAATACACAGTGCTGAACTCATCTATCCTGAGACCTAATTGCAAAAAAACCCTGTATTCTACTCGCCTTTATCACCACTTCCCTTCTTAGTCTTATCATTCCATCCCCTTTTTTTCCATTTAATTTGATTTGAGTAAACTAAACCCCAAAGTTAACTCCAATTAGCACATGCCAGAATTGTGTATAAGGAAGATTCTTGTCTGGAAAGAGATGACTATGTCCATTCTTACCATTAATATTGCAAAATTAGTGGTATGGTTGCAGCGGCAATGCAGGAGTCCATCACTTTCTCCATCTTTGTAACAGCCGTTTGTGTCCCAATCATTCATTGTAAAATTCCAATAGACACAGGCAAAGGAATGGACTTTTAATTCTTTTGTGTTGTACTATGAATTGATAAGACAATGGCAATTGGTTTTTAAATGCTTAATTTGGTAGAAAAAAACCCAAAAAGGATAAGGTAATCATATGAGAAATCAGTCAGATATTTACTAAGCATAGTATCTTCATTATAGATTGGGGGGAAAGAAATATAAAATTCAAATTAGCCAATTTTGCATTTAACTAGTCTGACAAAAAATATGGGTGAGTGGTAAATGAATACTTTTAAAGAATCTTTCAAAGAGTTTTTCTATAGATTTCTTTTGCCCAAACTATCCCTGCTTTTGTAATAAAGAGTTGGCTGAATTTTCAACTTGTTAATGGGAAAACTCACCTGTGGACGAAAGAGCATTTTAACAGAAGCACTCTGATTGTCCTCCGTGTTATTAGTTGTGCTTGAGATAATTTTTTGGCTAATATTTAATTTAGTTGTAAAAGTTTTTGATTGGAAGAGCTTGTTGTTTTGATACATTATAAAGCCACATGATGTGGTATTACCTGTGAGGGGGGAAAAAAGACATGAAAATCAATAAATAAACCATAGCCCTGGCCAGTTTTGCTCAGTAGCTAGAGCGTCGGCCCTCAGCCTCAAGGGTCCCGGGTTCAATTTTGGCCAAGGGCATAGACCTCGGTTGCAGGCTCGCTGGGGGCACGTGCGGGGGGCAACCAGTCAATGTGTCTCGCTCACACCGATGTTTCTCTCTCTCTCTCCCTTTCACTCTGAAAAGCAATGGAAAAGATATCCTCGGGTGAAGATTAAAAAATAATAATAACTGACTAAATAAATAAACCATATAGTAAACAAGAAACAAAGTCCCATGTCATTGTTGAACTGCACAGCTGCTTAATATTTGAGTAAAGTACAGTAAAAATGGTCTGCTGGCTGAACCTTTACTTAACTGAAGTATGGAATTAACATGTATAATCTGTCTGTGGTTGGCCATTCCACCCACATTAACTTTTCTTCCTGAGGCTCAGATTCCTTACGTTCTAAAAGGGAACAGTAATTCCTGCCTAATCCACCTCAAGGAGAATTGCAAAGATCTCCCCTATAAAGTAAACGTCTTGCTTTCTAGACAGCAAGACAGTGAACATGACTGCAGGTAGGTCGAGCCTCTTTGCTTCCCGCACTGATAAGACATAGAACAAAAAGAAAGCCCAGGGCGAATATCAGGAAGCTGTGCCTAAAGCAGTGCTCTGTGAGGCCTGCCTCCTCTTCAAAGGGCTGAGCAGGGACCAGTCCAGTAAGTCACAGAGCCAGGGGTTCAAGTTGTTCGTATCGGGGACTCATATGTGGAATCTCATGATACTGTGAACAAGCAAAACAGAGGCGGACTCAGAGATAGCAGGCCGACAGCTGTCGGGGTGAGGGGGCTGGGTGAGGGGGGTTAGCAAAAGAGAGAAAGAAATGAGTGACACAGAAAACAGTGTGCTG